AACAACGACTTGATTATTCGTAACAATATGTTTTCCGTCTATGAAAGACGCTAGCTTGTCACATTGTCCCCCAAGAACCAGTCCATGCATACTTTTTAACATGCATGATGATACAAAGGGAATGTCACTCACTTTGTATTAGCTGTACAAATCCAGCCCAATTTAGGGACATACCCAAATACTAGACTAAGTGTTTGTTGTTTAACGCTGGACTCAGCAATATTCCAGGTATATGACGACGGTCCGTAAATAAACGAATCTGGACCAGAATCTAAAACTAATTGGCATCATGCACATTGACCAACGCAATGGGAGAAAGAGAGTCAGAGAGCCTTGACCACCTGATCCCGTTGGTCGACTCTTACGGCAAGCATGGGTTGCTGAAGACCATTTCTACAACTCTGATCTCGGGAAGATACTATTGGGTAAGTTTTACTTTAGGCCACAGTGAGAAATATAGAAGCTGCTGGCCTGTGAATTGCCCTCTGTGAGACAGATAATCCAGTGACTTAGAGTATGAGTGAACAATTAACCTTATCAAGGCATGCCAATAGGAGTTGGTTGGTTGGTTGGTTGTTTAACGCTCAGCTATATTCCATCTATATTGCGGCGGTCTGTAAATAATCGAGTCTGGACAAGACAATCCAGCGATCAAAGCCATAAGCATCGCAACTGGTATACGATGACGTGTCAACAAAAGTGACCATCCAATCACGTAAGTCGCCTCTTACGAGAAGTATGGGTCACTGAAATCTAACCCGGATCTTCACGGGTCTTATGTATATCCTTCTGTGACACAACATCTCCAACTGTGTTGAGGCTGTTAAAGCACTGTCATCAGATACCTTCTACCAATAGATCGTATTGTAAACGTAAGGTACTCAACTTTAGGACATATATTTATTAGGACCGGATATGCTTGTTATTATTGTAGTTGTTGACGCTTGAGCTGGGTGAATTAGATGCAAATTGTTTTCTCTGTAGGGACAAACCACATAAAAGGGGAGGTAATGTATGGTCTAGAGGGCGCTGTCAGATGTGTCTACAGATGTGACGTCATAGCGCGATAAGTTCATCCTCGGCTGCCACGACCTGTACTTAACATATTGATCTGTTATATTTAAAACAAAGGGTTTTTGTTAAGGTGCCGCAAGAAGAGATTTTTGGAAAGTAAATTAAATTTAGATGTTAAACACTGCTGCAGTGTTGCCATACCTACCTTGTAGGTGGAAAAGATGTGGAGCATCTGATATCTACAGTGATAAGCTTACTTTTTCCTTCTGGGTGCTAACGTAGAAACGGCCTTGCGGGAGTGCTGTAAACGTCAATCTGATTGACGGGTTGTATGCATGGAACAAGACGGTGATACCTGAATCATCATTGATGTGATGTGATGTACCGTCTACAATTGTAATAAACGCCTCGGGGACTTACGAAGATGTTTGTTCTTTTATCTGGTTTGTGGTGGTAGATAGAGAACGCCTTCAGGCGGCGTAGACTACGACAACGAGCAATAAATGCTTGCTGGAGTCTTATCACATTTGGCATTTTTTGCGCTACTGTTGAATACTGATGTTAAAACCTGTTCTTTACTTTTTAAGTAGTTGATTACATCCCGTGAAGATCCGGGTTAGAATTGGTCTTCAGTAACCCATGCTCGTCGTAAGAGGCGACTAACAGGATCGGGTGGTCAGGCTTGCTGACGTGGTTGACACATGTCATCGCATCCCATGAGCATAGATCGATGTTCATGCTGTTGTTCAACTGATTGTCTGGACCAGACTCGATTATTTACAGACCACCACCATATAGCTCGGATACTGCCGAGTTTGGCGTTAAACAACAAACAAACAAAATATTGTTTACCCTCATAATAACATGTAGAAGAGAAATCACACCTGGTTACATTTTTGTTTTTGTGATATTAACTTTTCCTGTCCAGAAACTGATTTCCTCTTCACATTATTACTGATCAAATATTTGTAGATATAATTCTGTTTTAGGCTCTTCAAAATTTGTTTCGGTCATTGTTGGCTTTGTGTGAGTGAGTATGGTTTTACACCGCTTTTAGCAATATTCCAGCAACATCACGTTGGGGGACACTTATGACCCTTGTGGGGAAATAGTATGTCCAGTTTTTATGCCCAGGGAATATCAACTGCACCTCTGCCCTTTGTGGTACATATGTTGCTCAAAATAGGTTTACTTTGTAATTCCAAGCTGTTACAGGGGCGGTTGGATAGCCTTGTGGTCAAAGCGTTAACTCGTCGCGCCAGAGACCTGGCTACATCCATTATTCCATTTGTTCCATTTCGCGTCACAGATATTTGAGAATTGTACATTTATGTGGAAATTTAAGAAGAGGCCTATATTTGTGTTCTCTAACATATTTTATGACTGCAAACATATGATAAAAGTGAAAATATGGAAATGCATCTCACATCATTTTGGTTACGTGAGCATCAATGTCCAAGGCGTCACCCATACAACTTTAACGTTTTACTGGCATCGGACATACTGTCATCCACACCACTGGAGCAGTAATGGCGAACGTGCACTTCTTTCCAGATGGTGTTCGTTTGGATTGCTGCTTATAAGATTTTGTAAACGTAGTATTTTTGTTCTTTTAAAGTTTGGCTAATATGTTCTTCAATCGCCAGCGGCTGAAGGGATGGTGTAAATGCAGGTAGCAAAGCCACTGTAAGTCCCCGTGGTCCCTAGTATGGTGCTCTACCTTCAGTTGTTGGCGATCTATAGTCCATTTTTTACTGTATTGTCCTTATTTAAAATCCAAGTTTAGAGAGAGATGCTAGCTTTATTTCATGATACTGTGATATTCTAGTTGGTTTTACTGTCCTCCGCTGACAGGTTTTTATAATGTACATGTATTTATGGTGAATTTAAAACTTGATTCAGTCACGATATGGCTGAAATATTGCCGATGTGACTGTAAATCTTAAGTCACTCACTCACTCCTTCAGTATCGCTGAGAAAGATAACCAGATATATAAGTATATGGTATACAAGATAACCACATCTATAAGTATATGGTATACAAGATAACCAGATATAAGTATATGGTATACAAGATAACCAGATATATAAGCATATGGTATACAAGATAACCATATATAAGTATATGGTATACAAGATAACCATATATTAGTATATGGTATACAAGATAACCATATATAAGTATAAGGTATACAAGATAACCATATATAAGTATATGGTATACATGATAACCAGATATATAAGCATATGGTATACAAGATAACAATATATAAGTATATGGTATACAAGATAACCATATATACGTATATGGTATACAAGATAACCATATATAAGTATATGGTATACAAGATAACCATATATACTGAGTCAAAAAAGAAACTTCACATTCTTTCTTCAGGGCACTATAAAAGAACAAGAGATGGTTAGATGGTTAAATTGTTATTATTTCATTGCTGAGATCTGTGTGATGTACTCGATACACTGACAGTGCCATAATCAGTTCCATTAGGCTACACCGCCGTTCCAAAACATGGGTATACAGAATGTCAAGTCACAAGAATAAAAATGCGAAATTTCTCAGTTCAATATCGTGTATGGCCGACCCGCGCATTCACCACTGCCAAACACCGTCTCCTCATCGACTGCCTGATGCTTATGAACACGTGGTTGGGGATTCTGCGCCATTGCTCTTGCAAGACAGCGCCAAGTTCCTGCAAATTCTGAGGTTGGTTCCTAAGACCACGAAGCCTTCTCCCAAGTGCATCCCAAACGTGCTCTATTGGATTAAGGTCAGGGGACCTCGATGGCCAGTCCATGACGTTGATTCCAGCGTTTTGAAGGAAATGTCGTGTCAACATCGCGGTATGCGGCCGAGCATTATCATGCTGGAACTGTAGACCTGGGCCATGAGCCGCCATGAAAGGAACGAGTTCAGGGGTGAGCACCTGGTCGCGGTAGGCAGCAGCTGTTAGGTTTCCACGGATGACCAGAAGTCGGGAACGGTTGTTCCCATAGAAAGCACCCCACACTATGCAACTTCCGCCCCCGAATCTGTCGACTTCCTGTACACAACATTAGGCATACCGTTCACGACGTCGTCTCCAGACTCTATGCCTGCCGTCCGCGAATCTGAAGGTAAACCTGGATTCATCGATAAAGACGACTCGATTCCAGTCTCTCTGGGTCAATCGGAGGTGACGTTGGGCCCACAGCAGACGTTGACGTTGATGAAACGGCGTCAATATTGGCCCACGATATGGACGTCGAGAATGGAGATTGGCAGCCCGCAACCGATTTCGAATGGTCTGTGAGGACAGTCGACCTCTAAACATCTGAGCCCTGGTTCGTGTAGCCAGCAGAAATCTGCCACGTAGGTGACGTAGGACGATTTGACGGTCTTCTGCTCGTGACGTCACACGTGGACGACCCGACCTTGGGCGATCAGAAGTGGTGCCAGTTTGTTGTAGACGACCTCGCAAGTCATACACAGTACGACGGCTGCATCCCATTGCTCTTGCGACGTCAATAACTGATCTTCCCGCTTGCAACATGCCAACGGCACGTTCACGTTGCACATTTGACAATCGTAGCATTTCAAGTACCGTTAGAACTGTGGTTTAAAAGTGTTTTTTCAATTCTTGAGGCCAATGCAAACACGTGCATATGAAGAAAACTTCGATGCGAAGATCACGTGATCGACTGCACGTGCAAAACCTGATTTGGCACTAACGTCATTTGCACGACGAATGGATGGGTTTGAGTGGGTTTTGCTAACGTTTTTCTAAAGTCGAAAGATAGGGATCCCATTTCGGATACATAGATGTATCATCAGAGAAACATTATTCATTATTTTTCAAATTACATTTTGTGAAGTTTCCTTTTTGACTCAGTATATAAGTATATGGTATACAAGATAACCAGATATATAAGCATATGGTATACAAGATAACCATATATAAGTATATGGTATACAAGATAACCATATATAAGTATATGGTATGTTTATTTTTCAATGCTTATGAACTGAAAGCATGGTACATCACATATAGACTTGCTGAAAAAAGTTTACTGTTTGGCACTTCCGTATCTTGGATGAATACTAAGATGAAACTTCTTCCTGTTTCAGCCCCTATCATGTGACAACGCAACAGTTTCTATATGAATTAATAGCCTTGACATTTTGTATCTGAAACTCTGACATTAGATGTTTGCTGAGATACAAACCTCCATCAATGAGCATGTAAGGGTTAGCAGGGTCCATGAAACGGACCATAATGCGACAGGAATTTGAACAAATGTTTTTACTCTGTACAGTGAAATCTTAACGCTTTCAATAGATATGGAGTCCATTGTGAAATCACGTTCTGTTGTGTCATTAATCTTGCATCCTAAGGGGTTCAGGTCCGTCCCATCACTTTACACACGCACACGCACGCACGCACGCACGCATACACACACAATGCACACTCATATATATTTCTTGAACAGAGGTATACACATGGCGAAGACGGCACTGGTGAGATTGCAGCATCCTGAAAGGAGACAACGGTGATCCATGAACAAAGGAACAGTGAGTGAGTGAGTGAGTTGAGTTTTACGCCGCACTCAGCAATATTCCAGGTATATGGCGGCGGTCAGTAAATAATCGAGTCTGGACCAGACAATCCAGTGATCAACAGCATGCGCATCGATCTGCGCAAATGGGAACCGATGACATGTGTCAACCAAGGCAGCGAGCCTGACCACCCGATCCCGTTAGTCGCCTCTTACGACAAGCATGGGTTACTGAAGGCCAATATTCTAACCCGGACCTTCACGGGTCTAACAAAAGAAGACATAAACAAAGATGACTTGTTCATTATCAGACACATCACGTCTGCTCGAAAAGAGCATACAATAAACAGGATGACCAAATTGGTTTCAAAATAATATCACTGAAGGTTTCCAAACCATTTGAACGTGTTCAGCAATAAATAACATTAATTGACATCGTATGTTTGGATATCAGAATGACTTGACGTGAATAACAGTCAAACATTCAGCTGTGGATGTCTACTTTCATTTTCCAAATAAAATAATCACTTGCTATGTTCCATTACCCGCAAAAATAAACGTGTAGTCATAATCTCCGCTGTTTGCGTATATTAGACCTGAAACAAATATGGTTATGCTTCAGCAAGAATGTTCTTATAACAAGACCAGAAGTCAAATGTCATTTCAAATATGTAATAAAGCGCACATACACACATCTGTCTAGGATTCGTGTTCTTGCGACCGACGTAACCTTGCGGTTAGATTTAAGCCAATTTCAATATGCCATAAAGTTTGAACAGCTCATTAATGATCATACGTTGAATATGATACACCCAATGAGCACACAGCTTGTATTTCATTCAGCAATCACATTAAAATTGATGCTCATTGACTCACGAAGTAGATAAGAGAATTAGCATTCAAAGTTTTACTTACTTGCAATGGGTGGCCCACACAGTAAACCGATTCCTAAGACAAAAGACCACATTCCATAGGCAACAGCCAGTTTAGATCGTCCTATCAGTTCAATGCATATAGGACTTACTAATGTATACGGTCCTTGGCTATATAAACCAAATAACACACAGGCAACCATTTGGAGATGGTATGTATGTGACAGCACGGGGAGTAGCATTAGAGACACCCCAGACATTCCTTCAAATCCAACATAAAGTAGTAAGCTGCCAATAGCTTTATCCGATGAGGCCAAGCCAGAAAGCATTCCAGAGAAAAGAGCAGCTATGCCCATTCCTGTAAACAGACTCGCAGACTGTGCCGGTGTACTACCTTTCAATTCAGCATAATGTGGTAGATGAACCATGCAGGTAGCTTCTGAAAGAGACCAAAATAAGACACTGAAGAGGTAGAGGAAGAATCCATTTGCGCCATATGAAGCTACATGTTCTCTTATTGTCCTGCACCGTGAATGTGTCTTTGACGAAGGTGAGTTCTGTTCCAGCAGAGGTGCAACACTTGCATTTTCTTTCCCTGAATTGTCTTCTTTCGAAGTACAAGGGTCGGGAGTGCGTGCTTCTCTGTCATCATTATTATCTGTTGACGAGAAGATATGTCCGTCATCTTCCTGGTGGGAAAGAGTAACAATTGTCTCACTCTGTGCACATAGGTCTTCAGGTCCTTGTGGTACATCTACACAATCAGCAGGTCCTTCAGATACATCTACACAATCAGCACATGTTTGTGGGGCATCTCTACACTCATCAGGTCCTTGTGGTACATCTACACAATCAGCACATCCTTGTGGGGCATCTCTACACTCAGCAGGTCCTTGTGGTACATCTACACAACTATCAGTGTCATCTTCTGAAACTGCTATGTCCTGCATCAGTGTAGATGATGGTCTAAGCAGAGCTCCGGCTAAGCACACATGGAATCCGATGGCACCCAAAATTAGCAGCGTTCCGGACAGGGTGTACACTTCCAACAGAAATATCGTTAATGGACCGACTACAAGTAGTCCTAATGCACCTCCAGACATGCAGATACCGTACGCCACTGGAAGTCTCTTATTGAAGTAGTCTCCGGGAGCCACACCACTCACATTAGCAGCCAAGCCACAACCTAAACCTGTGTAAAATATATAAGTAAAGTCTCGAGTTAAGAAAGATGTAAAAGTACGAGCATGAAACCAAAGAATCTACGAGCTGCTATCCATTCGATGCAGGCAAAGACGCACCCGGTTCATAAATGTCTCTTGACTAACCAAGCGCACATGTACAAGTTTGTTTGAGGCCATTAAAGACCCCAAGAACGACATACAGCTCTTAAAACTTAAACATTTGAGACATTGATATACGATATGTTTGCACGACGTTTCTGTCATGAATGAAACATACAACAGTAAGGATGATAACTTCTTCTTATTGCATTAAGCGACGTTTCCGTGTAGATTCTGACATCGTTATCAATCCGAATGGTCGCTCTATGCTAGAAACAAGAAGTTGTCATCCGTAAAATTGTATGCTTAATTATTGACTCACCGACTTCTAGAATACCAATTAAACAGTTTTTTACATTATCTGCAAAAAATAATGTTGCAGTTTATGCAGTTTTTTCTTAAAATAAATATTTCTATGTAAATGACCACAACCTCAAAACTTTGTTACATGGAATACCTCCAGCTACCAACAATGTCAATAAGAACATAATAGAGTCTCTGTATCAACACACCTTTAAGACTAAACGATTTGATAAATTATTCCAGACCAATATCAATGAAATGTAACTGCAAGTTCAAGGTTCATAAGCACGTACAATGCACATATATGATTTGATTTGTCGTTTTTATGTATCCAGTTCTTGTGTATTTTATTTAGATGATATATGTACTGGTGAAATGTCAACAAAAGCACAGTTTTGCTAATTTACTAAACCAGATTCTTTGAGAATAAAAACATGTTTAAACCAAGATATATATTTGCTGACTTGTGGTATATGTTGGTTCATACTTCACCCGTTATTACACCGAAGGTGAGGATCAGCCCAGTCACAGTTCTGCAGAGGGATGCGGATGTCAGTCCTACAAGTATCATGATGCCGCCCAGAAAACTGGCCAGTCTGTGTCCGAGTCGGCCTTCAATACTTCCTACAAATGGTCCTGAAAAAGGTATTTATTGTATGTATTAATTTTTCGTTTTAACACTATTAATTATTAATACAATGAAACCTCATAAACACAAAGTCATGTTAATACCGCATATCTGCTCTTTACGGTTTGGCTTTTTTAATTCTATGCAATAAATGTCGAAAATGCTGAATGGGTTTCATTGCCATGTCTACCGATATATGTCACTGAGAATGAACCCATCAAGGTGAGTACTTAATGGTCGACAATGATTTTAGCATTCAAAGTATGAAAACTGAACTGTTTTTTCATAACACATAGTACTTACTAACTGAAGACTCTATCAAAGCACACTATCAGCTTGTTGTTACTACTTGATTCTCTGTTGTTTATGGCTTCATCAACCGTTTTGTTTGTTGTTCTCAGTCCACAACTGGCCTCTCCCAGTTATGTACCACTTGTTATTCAATTACAAGCTGTTGTTAAATGTTTATCTGCTGTTTGTCATAACATACCAAGTAGATATACTTCTCACCATTTGGTCGTAGTCACTTTCAGCTTGATACCGATGCAAGAATCTACATTGAAACGTTGCTCTATGCAATAAACAATAAAATGTCATCTATAGAGTTGTATGTTTCATAATACTTCCTGGTCACTTATACTGCCGTATGGTGAGAACATGGCTCATGTCAGTCGATAGCATGCAGTTTAAGAATGTCTGCAGATTGCGTATTCACAGCTGTAGGAGTGGCCTTTAACAACACAATTACCGTCAGTATAAAACAGGACAGCCGAGAATTAAAGCTATGTCACAGCGACCGATTTACAACTCTTGTCTGATTGAAAATTCAGGGTTGTTGGTTTGATTGGCTGTTGTTTAACGCTCCATCCAGCAATATTACAGCTATATTGCGGCGGTCTGTAGATAATCGAGTCTGGGCGAGATAACCCAGTGATTGACAACAGGAGCATCGATCTACGTAATTGGAATACGATTACGTGTTTCAACAATAGCTAGGCTTCTTTTACGTATTTACCCACAAAAAGTAAACATGTGTATGATGAATGAAGCATAAGCATCGATGTCTGTGTCATTACTTCCTTCCGAGAACACAGTCAGTGCGGCAAGCGTTGTGAGATACGTGGTGAAATCGTTAAACATGCCACGAAATAGGGTATATGTTGTACCTTGCATGTTATATGATATACGTTGTGACATGTTATATGTTATGTTATACGTTGTGACAAATTATGTTGTTATACGTTGTGACATGTTATATGTTGTTATACGTTGTAACATGTTATATGTTGCATGTTATATGTTATATGCTGCATGTTATATGCTATACGTTGCATGTTATATAGTATACGCTGCATATGTTATACGTTGTGACATGTTATATGTTATACAATGTATGTTATCTGTTATACATTGTATGTTATATGCTGTGACATGTTATATGTTACATGCTGCATGTTATATGTTATACGCTGTGACATGTTATATGTTATACGTTGTACGGTATATGTTGCATGTTATATGTTACACATTGTGACTTGTTATATGTTGTACGCTGTGACATGTTATATAGTATATGCTGCATGGTATATGTTGTGACGTTATATGATATATGCTGCACGTTATATGTTATATGTTGTGACATGTTATATGTTATACGCTGCATGTTATATGTTGCATGATATATGTTATACGTTGTGACATGTTATATGTTATATGTTGCATGTTGTATGTTATACGTTGTTACATGTTATATCTTATACGTTATATTTGTTATGACATGCTATATGTTATACGTTGTATTGTATATGTTATACGTTGTATGGCATATGTTGCATGTTATATATTATACATTGTCACATGTTATATGTTACATGTCATGTTATACGTTGTATGTTATATGTTATACGTTGCATGTTACGTGTTATACGTTGTATGGTATATGTAGCATGATATATGTTACATAACGTTGCATGTTATACGTTATGTAGTTTGTTTCATGCTATATGTTTTTATTAAATGTCATGTTGTATTTGCATGTTACACGTTGCCTGTTGTAAATTACATGATATTCGTTACGTCGTAGACGTTACATGTTATATGATATGATGCCACTGTGTATAATGTTATACATTACATGCCAATATGTATGTTAAACGTTACATCATATAACTTGTAATCATATAACATTATATGTTACACGTTATATATTTCATGTTATACGTCACATGGTACACGTACGCTTTGTGTTATGTATTATGTACAGATTATATGTTACATGTTATACCTTTACGTCACATAGTACATGTAAGGTATGTGTTATATATTACGTGTTATATGTTACATGTTATATGTTTACGCCACATGGTACACGTAAGGTATGTGTTATATATTTCGTGTAACATGTAACATGTGATATGTTTACGTGACATGGTACATGTAAGGTATGTGTTACATATTACGTGATATATGTTACATATTATATGTTTACGTCATATGGTACACGTAAGGTATGTGTTATATTTCGTGTAACATGTTACATGTGATATGTTTACGTGGCATGGTACATGTAAGGTATGTGTTATATATCAAGTGATATATGTTACATATTATATACTTACGTCACATGGTACACGTAACTTAGGTGTGTTATATATAAAAGTGTTAATATGTTAATATCTGTTAATATGTAAGATAATTCTTTGAACATTTATTCCACTCATACAAACCAACGGAGACCTTCAGGAGAATCTAGTAATAGACAAAGGGCAAACATTCAACATTTGTCAAATTAACGGAAATATTTATGTATTGGCTTGTGCCATGATGTTCCGGTAAAGCGTTGACCTCACACTAGTGCAGGCATGTATTACCTTATAACACATGGTGTAAATGTCCCAAACTTGACATGCAACGTACAGCCCATATAGTAGTTATAGCAAGCACATCTGTGCATTGCTCTAATAGAGGATAGACCCGTGAAGATCCGGGGTAGAATAGATCTTCAGCAACCCATTCTTGTCATAAAAGGCGACTATGCTTGTCGTAAAAGGCGACTAACGGGATCGGGTGGTCAGGCTCGCTGACTTGGTTGACACATGTCATCGGTTCTCAATTGCGCAGATCGATGCTCATGCTGTTGATCACTGGATTGTCTGGTCCAGACTCGATTATTTACAGACCGCAGCCATATAGCTGGAATATTGTATAGTGCGGCGTAAAACTAAACTCACTCACTAATAGAGGATACCAAACGACCTTCCGTGTAATACCATTTTTATTAAATGATATATGATTTGGTATCAAATGATCGAAAGTGAGTTTGATACTAAATCTATCACGAGTTTAATAAAAATGGTACTTCACGGAAGCGAGTTTAGTATTCTGTTCATTACTCTCCAACATAAATTGATAGAAACTGCCTACGGTGTGATGACTCTCAGCTTTTCGCGAGTCAAGCAAGGTCTGATGCCATGGTGACAGGTAATAGCATTGTGACGTCATAACTGTAAACCATTATGACCTCATACGTCTAGCAGTATTACACTAGTGCGATTTTGCCGTAAAAATATTACACTGCAATATCTTCCATGGGCGTGTAATAAAGTGTATTGGTGTGGGCCTACATATAATATATCAACGTTGAATCATGAACATCAGAAATACACTCACCACACATTGTAAATGTCCCCAACAGAGTTGATCCAATCCATGACACTTGGACTAAGTCATTGTCAATTTCCTCCAGAAACGCCGGTGTGAGCACCCCAACAGAACAGATTAAAAGGCCGTAGAGGAACTCTATAGAGAAGCAAGCAGCGAGGACCACCCAGGCATACCCACGGTCAACGTCCTCTTTGGGGGGTTGCATTGTTTTCTTTCTAATAACAAAGAATATGAGTGAATGGATGAGATTTTACGCTGCTTATAGCAACATTCTAGGATATGTTTCCTGGATTATATTTCCTGGAAATCTGTGGTTGGTATATTCATCGTTTCAGGCCACAATCTGCATTGTCCCAGTTATATCATATTATATGTAAATAATGGAATCCGATTTTCAAGATCCAGGAGACATTGAAATCTCAAAACCTAACAGTCCATGACAAATAGTCCGATTTACACCCCCGGAGGCAGTGAAATCTCAGAACCTAACCACCCATGACAAATAGTCCGATTTACACCCTCGGAGAATGTGAAATCTCAGAGCCCTTGAGTTTGTCAAGAGAAAACTATATCGCCTATCAAAGCCTTTCAGACAGATAGACAGTTATATCCAGTAGAAAGGCCACTGGGCCATAATACAGTCAAATGCATGATCACACATCACATGAATGGTACACAAGGATTTATAAAAATGTTCTGCTCTTAATTATAATTTGTACATTATATAAAAACAAAGAAACATTCTTAATCACATCGACATTAGCAGATTGAATAGTATGTATAAAGTTGTTTATCGTCGGAGGCTGACTTAAATATTTCACAATATATTTTTCTCGAATATCAGAGAAACATTCACAAATATACAAAATATGCCACTCATCTTCAACAACATTAATACCTTTGGATTTACAAAATAAACAAAATCTTTCATTAGAAGCAATATTTTCATATCTCCCAGTCTCTATTGCTAAATTAAAGTTTCCACATCTAAATTTTGAAAGCCTTGCATTTCAAAGCCTTGCATGAAACATAATTAATTCATTAATGACCATCAAACAATGTTGATTCACCGCCAACAAGATTGATGTATACTGTACTGCTAAGTGGCTGAGCTGACACTGAGTGAGTTCGCTAATCACGTCGTTAATTGGGTCTTGGGGGGTAGTAAATCAGTTCGCTATAGCCGTTAATTCGCTACTCACGAGTTCGGTATTCACGTATAATTTTAATGATATTATAAAGGACTGTTGACGGGACTTTTAAATTTGTTCGCTATATCCGTTTGTACGCTATATCCGTGTTCGCTATAACCATGTTCTACTGTTATAACAGCTATCGATTTTCAATGGCTTTGCAAATATGGTTATCATGCAGTCAATATAGATTTAATTGTTCACATTTACCAGGCGATATCCCAATAAAATTATCCAATATTTCCAATTATTTTTGGATTAAAGAAAAGCTAGGGAACAACCTGATCATCTCAAATTTCGAAAGACACAAGTGCACGATGCGTTGAAACAACGTTCCTATCGTTCATGGAAGTGTTGTAGGTTTATAACACCAAAACGCAGCAGTGTGACGCTAATCACAACAACAGACACTTTGTATTGAACATGCGTTACCTTTTAGTCCGATCCCATCCAGAGCATTATGGACGCTAATGTTCATGTACCGACAGTTTCAAGAATAGTAGTAACGCGCCGATGTAGAGATATATGAACGGGCATCATGACACATTGCACAACAACGCGACATGCCCTTTGTTTGCGTTCTAGCATTATAACCCGCCGCTCCAGGATTATGTTATCTGCTCTACCGGTCACGAGCAAGATACAACTAGGTCAAGTCGGTTCGGTTGAACATCTAGGCCAGTAATCTATGCGATTGTGTTATGAAGGTCGACTTACCCCAGCATTTCTTGGCGTTGCGTTCGAGCGAAATTCTCAGCGACCGCGAACAATAAACAAAGGTATTGATTGTAGCGATTACTCTGCAGTCACCGCTTTCATGGACATGGGTGTAAGTTTAAGTTATTTGGAAATATGGGGGCATGTGCATAGACGTCCATGTATA